ACTTTGGGGTGATTACTTTGTAGTGCATACAGACGTTGGATTATGATGCTGTATACCTGAAACTTTTTTTTTTTAAGTAGGAAGAGGAGCCAGACAATTTTTTCACCAATGAGAGAAACACCGATTGGTTGCCTCCTGAACGTGCTCCCCTTGGGATCAACCCTGCAATCTGGGTGTTGTGCCCTGACCAGGAATTGAACCCACAACCTTCTGGTGCACGGGCCCGGATGCTCCAACCAACTGAGCCTCCCTGGTCAGGGGTGAGTAAACACTAGATTTCATGTTTCACAATGCCCTCACTCGACAGGTTGCTTTAATCTGGGTCTTGCCATAGAATGACTCCAGCTCTCCTAGGTGAAAGACAGCAAAGAGCTTGCTGTCCAAACCTGCCAACAGGACATGCCCCAGAGCCATTTCCCTGTTAGATGCCAGACCTGAATTCTAATAAGCCCCCTACACCGGCCTCCTGCTCTATGAGACTCATATCTGCTCCCCGCAAGGGCACCCAGGCCACCATCTGTCAATTTCCTCCACGTGTGTCCAGAAATAAGATCAGAAACTAGGATGAAACTCGGAATGCTGAGTCCCAGGGCATGACCTCTGGCCTCCACAAAGGCCTGGCCAAGTGTGAGAGAGGGAAAGACAGCGAGAAATAGCGAGGAGGCAGGTGTGATGGGAGGAAGACCAGGGGAGAGCCCTGATGCGTGTCCTTCCCAAAGCCTGGTTTGACCAGGGCTTCCTCACCGGGGCGCCGTGAACACAGGCCTGGCCCTGGGCAGCCGTCCCCAGCTTCCTTGGCGGGGGCTCGGCCACTGAGGACATGATCGCTTCCCGCAGGGGCCACTCGGCCAACCTGGGGACAGGCTGCAGGTGGCCACCGCCCCCTCGCGAAGGGAAAGGTGGAAGGAGATGGCAATGGGGCACTCTGCCCAGAGCAGTGTGTCCAAAGGCATCTACGGAATGACCGTGCCTCTGTCTTTTTTAAAAATATATATATTTTTTTATTGATTTCAGAGAGGAAGGGAGAAGGAGTGAGAGATAGAAACATCAAGGAGAATCATGGATCGGCTGCGCCCTGCACGCCCCCTGCTGGGGATGAGCCCACCACCCGGGCCTGTGCCCTGAGCGGAATCGAACCCTGACCTCCAGGTTCATAGGTCGAGGCTCAACCCCCAGCCGCCGGCGAGCGGTGCCTCGGCATTAGCTCGCTCACCGCAGCGGCTTAACCGGCTCGTGCGGATGAGGAGCGTTTGCTGGAATCGGACTCCGGGGAGGCGCTGGCCTTGCCCGGCCCCGGGGCAGCGGCGCAAGGTCAGGGAGGCTGCGGGACCGAGCGCTTCGAAGCCCAGCCCGGGCGGCCGGCGGAGCCCGCACACCGCGACCCGGCTGCGCACGAGGAGCTGCTCCCCCGAACCCTAAAGGGGCGACAGAGAGATTCCCGAGACGTCTCCCGAGAGCTCCCACGGCCCCTTCCCGCCCCGGGCAGCGCTCACGGGGGACCCTGCTCTCCGCGCCCCGCACCGGCCTCCGTTCCCGCCCGCGCCCCCGCCTCCTCGCACCTTGACCGTGTCCAGCGGGTGCCCCACAAACACCAGGCACATGCCTCCGAAGCCGCCGGCCAGCAGGTTCTTCAGCGGACTGATGGGCTTCGCCTGGTCCGTCATGGTCCGTCTGTCCGCCAGGACGTTCCCTGCCGCCTCGCTGCACCGCCCCAGTCGCAGCTCCGGCTCCGCCGACCTTTCACCCACTTTCGAGTGGGCGGGGCCAGAGCCTGGGGCCGCCCGGGAGGCGGGCCTAGGCTGCGCGGCCTGGCTTCCGCCGCGGGGCCGCTTCCGGAAGAGGCCACGCCCACGTGGCGGTGTGTGGGCGGACTTTTCTCTCCCGGCTCCCAGGCTCCCTCTCCGTAGAAATCGGTTCCGCCCTGCGCTGTGCCAGGCGCCCTTCCCAGGGCGGGAAGCTCCACGGGGAGTCCCTGTGCTTGCGGAGCTCTGGCGTAACACAGATAAAGAAGTGAAAGATACACAGTGTATCAAGCGGTGATAACGGCCGTGCTCTGGAGAGAAATAAACCTGGAAAGAGGCTAGAGGGGCGGGGAGGCGGAGTAGTTCACAGCTTTGATGAGGCGAGGGAGGGAGGGTTTCCCCGGGAGGTGCGGGAGTGGAGGTGAGGGGCCTTCCATGCAGAGGATGACATGCAGAAGCCCTGGATGGTCGGTGCCTGTTCTGTCAGAAACCACGCGGGGGCCTGGGAGGCCAGGGCAGTGAGGGGGGCAGGAGGCGGTGGTAGCCACGCTGACTGTCACGGAGGACATCAGCTCTCCTCTGCAGGAGAGGGAGCCGTGCTGGTGTCCGGGTGAGAATGGACTGCGGGGAGCCAGGAGAGAGCCGGCAGCCTTGAGGAGGCTCATCTCTGACCTGGCTTGGATCAGGGGCCATAGCAGAGGAGGTGGCGAGGAGTATTTGGATTCTGGGTATATTCTGAAAGAAGAACTTAAAGGAACTGTTAATGAAGAGAATAAAAGGTGTGTGAGAGAGAAGTAAGGGTTATGCTAATGTGCCTCACTGACTCCAGGCGTACAGTATTCAGGTATTCATCATAGTACTCTTTCATTTCTGTATGGGTGACACTTTTAAATTTAAAAAAAGCTGTGAATAGTAGTGGTTATACTATTCTGTAGTAGGTACCTCAATGTCAAGGTACCTGAGAAGTCCCCTTGCGGAGGCACCCCAGGCTGGGGGGAAGCCTGGAGTGCGTGAGATGACCATGCCTGCTGGGGTGGAAGGATGAGTGACAGGATCAGGACTGCGGTCAGCAAGTGACTGGCCTGGCTGGTCCACAAGTCCTGGAGGGCAGTGGATGGCAAGGGGGTTGGGGGACAAAAGCCTGTCTGCTCTGTATTATAGGCGTTTTCTAGAAAATGATGGGAAACCATGTTAGAATTTGTTGTTGCTGATCCTCACCTGAGGATATTTTCCCTCGTTGCTTTTCAGAGAAAGTAGGAGGGAGGGAGGGAGAGGAAAACCTCAATGTGAGAGAGACATCAATGGGTTGCCTCCCACATGTGTGTCCTCTCCTCCCCCACAACCAGGGCAGAGAGCAAACCCACAACCCAGATAGGTGCCCTTGACTGGGAATCAAACCTGGGACCCATTAGGACCCAAGCCAACGCTCTAACCACTGAGCCAGAGCTTTTTAAAATATATATATATATGTGTATATATATATATATTATTGATTTATTACAGAGAGGAAGGGAGAGAGATAGTTAGAAACATCGATGAGAGAGAAACATCGATCAGCCGCCTCCTGCACACCTCCCACTGGGGATGTGCCCGCAACCAAGGTGCATGCCCTTGACCGGAATCGAACCTGGGACCTTTCAGTCTGAAGGCCGACGCTCTATCCACTGAGCCAAACCGGTTATGGCGAGCCAGAGCTTTTAAGCACGAGTAGTGACATGATCCAATCTGTTTTAGAAAATCTATTTTGGCGGATAAATTTGTTCTGGGAGGAACTGGAAGCAGGGAAACCAGTTAAGAGAGAACATAGTGGTCCAGGCAAGAGGCAGTGAAGGCATGAACTGAGGCAGAGGTCATGGGAGGATGGAAAAGAGGATAGAACCAGAGGCATTACCAGGAATCCTACAATAATTCTGGGTCTCAGACACACTGCAATTGCAGTGCCCATCTGAGGAAATACCTGGCTAGTGTCACACATGTGGCCTGGGGGACCAGGAGAGGTGAGGACCAGAGACAGAAGCCAGGAAGGCTTCAGCACATGATACACATATGTAACCCCCGGGAGACTCTACCCTGGGAGAGGGGCCGGTATGAAAGGAGGAGCCCTCAGAGCAGAGGTTGCTATTAGAGTTTTGGAGAAAAATGAAGATGAAATGGTGCCTTTGAGTCCAAGAGATAAAATGATCAAATGCTGGGTCAAACGAATGAATTTTCAGTGCTCATTAGGCTTAACTAGTAGTCACTATTGACACTAGAAGCAGCCTGCCATGAGTGTCAACACCCGATGCATCTAATACTGAAAAGGCAGCAAGAAGGCAGAGGCCCTGAGAGTCACTGATTGGTTCAAGGAGCTTGGTAGGGAAGGGAAAGGAACGAAGAGTTAAAGGAGAGTTTCGATTTTAGGGTGTTTTTAAAAGATGGGACTGAGGCTGATGGAAACATCAAGAAGGGAGAGAGAAAGAACAGCTGATAAGACAAGGTCCCTGAGCCCTGGCCAGTGAGGTTCAGCTGGTTGAGCACCATCTCATGCACCAAAGGGTCGCCAGTTCAATTCCTGGTCAGGGTACATGCCCAGTTACAGGCTCCATCCCCAGTAGAAGGCATGCAGGAGGCAGCTGATGAATGATTCCCTCTCATCATTGATGTTTCTCTCTCCCTCTCTCTCTTCCCCTCTGAAATCAATAAAAATATTATAAAAAAGAATATATCATAAATACCTTTTCTTCTCAATAGATGCCTTTGTACAACATCTATTATTATTAAATAAACAAATAAAGGGCTGTTTTCTCAAAATAAATGAAGTAAATACACTGGATTATAGTAGACTTTTATGCTGCTAACATACAAGTGAGGGGTCCCTCAGAAAATCCTACAATAAACACACTCGTTACCATTAATTACTCCAATTGGAGTTTTCTAGCACGTATTTGCACCTGACTTAGGTACCTGTTTTGAGTTCACCTGAAAGTTGAAACTCATGTAGAAGAAACATACATGAGCACATGCAAGCAGCATCAACTAGATTAGAGAGCCCATTGCACGTCGATCTCTCCGGACATGCACGACTCGTGTCTGGGCCACCTAAGGGCTTGCACAGCCCGGGGCACGCCCTGCGTCTCCGGCTTCGCACGGGCGCTCCCACGCGTGCAGCGGCAGCGGCAGCGGCGCGGGCGAGCCTCCGCGGTTCTAGCCACGCCGGCCGACGGCAGGTCCTGGAAGGTACAAGTCATGACTGGCGCGTCCTGTGTTGTTGGCGGGAGGCAGTTATCGTTCAGTTTCGTGTGGCGAATCGGGGCGCCCGCCGCCGGCCTCCAAGCGGAGCATCAGGCGGCCCGGCGCGCCGACCCGAAGGCCCCGCGGGAAGGAACAGCCCTTCATCCCCAGACTCCACGGACGTCGAGAGGTCACCCGCACCCAACACCCGCGTCCGAACCGCGAGGTGGGGCGCCCGCAGCGCAGCGCTGGCTGAACCCCCGGGGGCGGCGGGCGGCGGAGACCAGGCTCCAGGGCCGAGCCCTCTCCCCGGCGCCCCCCGCCCCCTCGGAGCCGGAGCGTCCAGGTCGGACTCCGGGACCTGGCGGCGGGTGACCGCCACGCCTCGGCCGGAGGGTAACACGACCCGGCGCCTGCCGCGACCCCGGCGACCGCGGGGCGACCCCGGGCCGGAAGTGACGCCAAGCGCCGAGCACTTCCGGGTCGCGGCGACCGCTCCGCCGGAGGAAGCAGCGCGGGCCTAGACCGGGTCGGCCCGCCGCCTCCGCCGCCGCCGCGCCTGGCTCGGAGCCCTCTGGCCTGGCTCGACCCGGTCCGGCCCGCCCGGGCTCAGCGGCCGCGGGGCCGCGGCTCCCGGTGAGTGTGGGCCGCGCGGCGCGGCCTTGTTTACCCGGCCGCCGGGAGGGTGGGCTCTCCGCGCGCCTCCTCGCCCGCCCGGGGCTCCGCCTTCGCCGCCCGCGAGGCCCAGGGCCCCCGGCAGCCGGTCCAGGGTCTCAGCTCCCGCGGCCGTCGCGGGGGGCGGCTGGAGAGGAGGCCGAGGAGGGCGGCGGGCGCCGGGCGGCCCTGTCTCTCCTCCTCGAGGCGCCTCGGCTCCGGAGAGGTCGGGGCCCGCGCCTCTGGGCGCCCGGCGCCTGGGCCTCCCCAACGGGCGCCGGGAAACGCGCCGCCTCCGGGCCCCGCACTGGAGTCCTTGCTGGGAGCTCCGGCCGGGCCGCCCGCGCGGTTGGTAACGTCCGCCCCGCCGGGAGGGGTCCCCAGCGCGCGGGCCGTGTCCTCGCGGCTCTCTCGGCGCCTCGGGAGGGACGTGGGCCCAGGAGCCGCCCCGCCGGTCGCCGCTGTGCGCGAGGGCCGGGCGCCTTCCCGAGGGCCGGGGCCGCTCTGCCCGGGAGCTGTCGGCCGGTGGACGTGCTGTCCCCCTGCCGCTGGGGCGGCCAGCCCCCAGCCACGGTGGCCACCGGGAGTTTGACTTGTGGCCGGGGCGACCGGAAAACCAAGTTCCTAATCTTCTTTAATTTTTTTAAGTTAAAATGTAAAAACCCCGCGCGGCCAGCAGCTGCCGTATGTGACTAGGAGACATAGCCGGGGTTTTGAGACTAAGTTGTCGGTTCCCATTTCGGTGCCGAATCCTCGGCGATGCGAGTTGGTAAGTGGGCCTGGGGCTAATGTGTCTGGAATAAACCCCGCCGGACTCCCCAGCTAGCCTCTCCCGTGGGCTTGGAGCCGGAAGGTCTGCAGTCCGGATCCCTTAGCCCCGGGGAAAATGATGTTTCACTCCTTTTCTGTCTGGGATGGGGGAGTAGTTAACATCTGAGGAAATGGAAGGTGTCATCAATTCTGTGCCCGAGGCAGTGACACACTGGCCCTTTGAGGGTTGTCAGCACTCTTTCAAGTAGAATAGGGACATTTAAGTTTGGAAAGATTACAATTGGGCGGGGGGGGGGGGGGGGGGGGGGTTAGTTTGTTGGAGCGTCATCCCAGGTGTGGCAGGGTCTCTGAGATCCTCGGTCGGGGTGTGCACGGGACACAACCGGAGCCTGCGCAACCCTCCCTAAGCCCAAATCCCGGGGAGGAATTCCAGAGGAAGCGAAAAGCGTGCTTTTTGTTGTGACTCTGGAGGTAACTAAGAGTGACGGGGCCTGACCAGCGTGGCTCAGCCGCTGAGCATCGACCTATGAGCCAGGAGGCCAGGAGGTCACGGTTGAATTCCCGGTCAGGGCACAGGCGCGGGTTGCGGGCGCGATCCCCAGTGTGGGGCGTGCAGGAGGCAGCCGATCCGCGATTCTCTGTCAGCATTGGTGTTTCTCTCTCTCTCTCCCTCTCCCTCCACTCTGAAATCAGTAAAAATATATTTTTTAAAAAAGAGTGATGGGAGTTATGAGTCATGATAGGCCATGAATCTGGTGGAAGTAGGACCCTGGCGCTCTGGCTGCCAGCTGTGTGGTCCTGGGCAAGTAACTTAACCTTTTTGAACTCTAGCTTCCTCATTGGTAAGAAGGAGATGAAGGGCACTTTGTAGGGTTGTGAAGATTTACTGAGGGGGACTCTTCCCCCCTCCCCATGTGGGAGCCTGTACTTGTTCTTCAATAAATTTCCATCTTTGCTATACCAAAAAAAAAAAAAAATTTACTGAGTATACATCTGACTTGTAATTGGCTCTCGTTACATGAGAGTTATTCTTGGTAGTGATATTTTGTAGATAGGAGCAATATTCATAGGTTGTTTGCCCGGTAAGCAGAATCTTACGTAAAAATACAAGTAAAAGAAAAAAGTGTTGCTTTTTAAAGTCAATCGTTCCCCTACTATTTTGAAAATAATCATCCACAATTGTTTGCACTTTGGTTTTCACTTAATTTATATTTGCCTGTCTATGTTTGAAAGTTGTAAGCTCTGGTTTTTCAAGAAATCCTAAAGGATAAAGAAATAGACATCCTATATAATAAAAGGCTAATATGCAAATCAACCAAACAGTGGAATGACCTGTCGCTATGAGGCACACTGACCACCAGGGGGCAGACGCTAACACAGGAGCTGCCCCTTGATGGTCTGCGCTCAGCCAAAAGCTGGGCTCATGGCTGGCGAGTGTAGCGGTGGTGGCGGGAGCCTCTCCCACCTCTGGCAGCTCTAAGGATGTCTGACTGATGGCTTGCTTAGGCCCGTTCCCCACAGAGCGAGCGGGCCTAAGCCATCAGTCAGACATCCCCCGAGGGCTCCTGGATGGTGAGAGGTGCAGGCCAGGCTCAGGGACCCCCCCTGAGTGCACGAATTTCGTGCACTGAGCCTCTGGTAAAATAATTGAGTAACCAAGTAGTACTTAGTCTTGGATAGTGGGATCTGTATCTCTGTGAAAGTTGAGTGGCCCTTGAGCATGTCAGAAGAGAGGGGGAATAGGTGTTAGTACTGCCCAGCCTCATCCTGTAGGAGACATTTTTTACTTTAATTTTTAATTTGTTGATTTTAGAAAGAGAGCAGTATCAATTTGTCGTATGCACTCCTTGGTTGCTTCTTGTATGTGCCCTGACCAGGGATTGAACCAGCAACCTTGGTGTACTGGGATAGTGTGCTAACCAAAAGGGCCTGACATTTTTTATTTGAAAATAATTTTTTTCATGAGTAATGTGAGATCTGAAATATTGGCAGTATTCTGTGTTAGATTGCCACCGTGTAGGTGACTTTATAGTAAAAGTCCAGTTTTAATTCAGTCGCAGTTTACTTTATCAGCACTTAGAATTGAACAGTAGGAGTAAGGTGGTTGTCTTTCAAGCTGAGGGAGGGAATTGGGTATACATTTCCATCACCAGTACCACAGTTCAGATCACTGTCATCTGTTTTACTTTGAATGCTCAGTTTTTTTAAGGCTGTATAACTTTCAATATAATGATGACTAGTGGATTTCTGTGGGGCATATAAGAAAATATAGTTGATCCTTGAACATTGACCCTCTGTGCAGTCAAAAATCTATGCATAACTTTTTATTATTATTGATTTTTAGAGAGAGAGAGAGATTTATTTGTTGTTCTACTTAGTTATGCATTGATTGATTGCTTTTTGTACGTACCCTAAACAGGGGCTGAACCTGCAGCCTTGGTGTATCAGGACAGTGCTCTAAACAACTGAGCCACCCACCCAACCCGAGCTACGCATAACCTTTACTCCCCAAATGCTTACCTGGTAGCCTACTGCTGACCAGTAACACACACCAGTTAATACATTGTGTATGTTACATTCATTATCTATAGTAATAAAAGCGTAATGTGCTGTTAGACCGAATGTCCTTCCAGACGAAGCCAGGGCTGCAAGGGAAGCCCGGATCCGGGTGCCTGCCAGGGGCCAGAGGGAAGCTGGTGCCAGCAGCCGGGAGAAGGAAGGCCTACTCTTGCATGAATTTTGTGCATCGGGCTTCTAGTATACTATACTAGTGGTTCGGTGCATGGACTCGTGCACATTGAAAGAAAATTGATGAGAAGAAATATTTTAATATCATTATTTGCCCTTTCTCTACAATAGAAGTGTTAACCAAATTCACTATTGACAATGACAGATCAAAACACACGCATGCAGTTGGCACCAGCGATAGCTTTATATGTATCGTGCATGCATGAGTCAACGTTTTATGTGTGTGTGTGTGTGTGTGTGTGTGTGTGTGTGTGTATCTGCTTTCTGATTTAGGTAAACTTTTTCCAGCACAGTGAAGCACCCCAACTTCTCTTTCAGGTAATTGTCAGCAACACAGCAGTAAATATCAACACAAAGCAGATTATTATTGTAGATCACACAGGGAGAACAAAGGGTAAATATTTAACTGCAGCCGTGTTTGACTATATTCTGTGCAGTGAGAAAACCTGAAGTCATTTTCAAGGTCCGCCATTTCTTCTTTTCAGTCGGGTCAAGTTTCTAAGCTTTCTAAATCTCCATTTTCAGCTAATGAAAAGAAAATAGGTTTCTACTGTGTCTCCTATCTACCTACTCCTGAACTTCTGTGAGGATCATATGAGATGAGGCACAGGAAAACGCTTCACAGACATTTGGTTAAAGTGTAAAGTGTTTGCACCTGGCTATGAAGCAAGTGGTGTTCCTGGGCTGAAGAAACTCCAAGGAGGCTAGTCGCTAGGGAGAGGAAGCCGGGCGTTGCTACGTGACGTCATTACCCGGAGCCCACAGCGAAGGTGTCCGTGCTGGGCTGGGGTGTGGGCTGCATTTTGTGCTATGAGGTCTCGGCAGCGTTGGCTGCGGTTTGGTGGGCTGTCGCTCCAGGTGGTGGCGGGGCCTGTGACCCACTTGGGGGAAGCCGAGTGTTGCTTTGTTGGCACCAAGTCCGCGGTGCCGTTTCTTTGTTAAATGGCCAGTGTGGGTCATGGCAGCTCCTGCGTTGAACATCTGCCCCCTTGTGGTCAGTGCACATTATAGCAACCGGTCAGTTGGACACTTAGCATATTAGCTTTTTATATATATATATATATATATAGGTTACTATAATAAAGTTAACTACAGAAAAGAAAATTGTAAGGAAGAGAAAATATATTTACAGTATTTATTGAAAAACTCCACATATAAGTGGGCCTGTGCAGTTCAGACTCATATTCAAGGGCCAGTTGTAATTTCATAGTTACTCTGGTCCCTTGCTGCTTATCCTTTTAAATGTCTTTACTTTTTGTTTTTTATTTTTAAAATGTTTTTATTGATTTCAGAGAGGAAGGGAGAGAGATAAAAACATCAGTGATGAGAGAGAATCATTGATCGGCCGCCTCCTGCATGCCCTCTACTGGAATCAAACCTGGAACCCTTCAGTTCAATGCTCTATGCACTGAGCCAAATCAGCCAGGGCTAAATATCTTTGCTTTTTAAAAATAAATTTGTAAAAGTAGGGTACCAGTTTAAAAATATATAAATAGAATTCTCTGTTTTTATTTTAGATGGAAATTATATGACAGAATATTTGGGTAACATCTTCCTGAAAGATCTTCAAGGACTACAGGTATTTTTAATTTAGAAATTAACTCTTCTTCTAAAGGAAAAATACCATAGTTAGGTTCAGTTGTTAATTGGTGGTTCTGCCTTATAAACCAATTTGTTAAAAGTGAAATTGCAAGTATTATATTTATTGTCCTGTTATTGTGATTTTTTAAAATTGGGCATTTATAGTTAATATCAAACTTAGATTCACTAGCTTTTTAAATTTATTTTATCATCAAAACATGGCTCTACAGTCCTTTAGACTGGTGACATATTTAGTATATATGTATTCTAAATATTTGTTTTAATTATGTTTGTTTTTTTAAGAGAAATTATCTATTCCAAATAGCCTTTGCATTTGTATTTAATCAAGATTTGGTTGTGTAAATTATTTACATACTATTCAATTCAAATGCTCTTGCATTTTAACGTTCTGTTAATTTCTAATTTAAGTCATTATTTGATACTGTTCTTTGCAAATGATCACTTGAAATAGTACTTGTGCAGAGAAGTTAATGGGTATTTGCCAAAATCTTTGAGTTGAAGTTAGTACTTGTGATTATTTTGCTTTCTCAACTAGTGTTCCCCGTTCATTTTTATGTAATTGAGTAACATTCTGATCTGTGAGGTTTTTTCAGTAGCTGTTTTCACTTGAACTCTTTACCCTAAATGGATTCTGGTTTTCCCTAGCCTTGATCCTGCTAAGACAGAAGAATATCTGTAGTTTTCCTTCTCTGTTAGGCCAGTTTCTTTGCCTCTAAGCAGTGCTTTTAAAGGATCAGTAAAACACTTTAAGACTGAGTCAGCCCTGGCCTGTGTGGTTCAGTTGGTTGGGAATTGGCCAGTGTACTGAAAGGTTGCCAGTTCGATTCTGGTCAGGGCACATGCCCGGGTGTCGGGCTTGATCCCTGGTAGGGGGCGGGAAGGAGGAAAAAAGACTGAATCAGTTAACTTTGCTGACTAGAGGAGCGTGTTGATGAGCTGTGTGGCTTTTATTTTTTCTTTTCTAACTATGCACCTGCTTTCCAGATATCTGAGAGCAATGTCTATGAAATAGTCATATACTTTCCCTAGATATTATACTTGGAACTGTGTCCCTATTTACGTACTGTCTCTGTCGCCACTAAGTGGGCATGGCCAGCAATGAGATGGTAAACTTTGGTAGTTCAGCCTTTAGGTTGCTTCCCCTGTGGGCAGCTGTGGGATGTGTGTCTCAAAGGCTCTGGCAGGAAGGACAGATCCATGGGAATGGGACCCCCTGACAGAGCAGACAGCCTTACTCTCCCATGCCAGGCCCGTCAAGTGAAGCTGCCATCGTCAGCCCCTTCTGCGCTCCAGGGAAGGGGTCCCTTTGGCACGCTTGGGCAGGGAGAGGATGTTGAGATGACCTGTTGAGACCAGAGCTGGGAATAGGTTGGACTGGGGGAGGGTCAGGGTTATGCCATTGTGACTCTTGAATGACTTCTGTTACAGCTTCTCACAGTGAAAGTAAGTAACACATTTTTTCCTTTTCTTCCTTAGAAGACAAAAACACTAATGCATTTGAGAAAGTGGTAAAGTTGGGGGGGAGGGGAAGAACCCTGCTTTCCTGGTTTGCAACTTGCCTGGATGCTAAGATGTCGGTGGACATGAATAGCCAGGGGTCTGACAGTAATGAAGAGGACTATGACCCAAATTGTGAAGAAGAGGAAGAGGACGAGGACCCTGGGGACATCGAGGACTATTACGTGGGCGTAGCCAGCGATGTGGAGCAGCAGGGGGCCGATGCCTTTGATCCTGAGGAGTACCAGTTCACCTGCTTGACCTACAAGGAGTCCGAGGGTGCTCTCAATGAGCACATGACCAGCTTAGCCTCTGTCCTGAAGGTGAGCAGTGTTGTCAATTCCAAGTGTAATCCTGCCCCCCCCTCCCAATTAAATCTAAACATGAGCTATTGTTAACTAATTTTTCCTTCAGACCGATTGAATGGCCCTGTAGCTTGAAGTCAAATTTGAGTACGTGTTGCATCATTTGGACACATTTGATGCGTTTACTTTGTTTTCTGGTATATACATATCTAAGACCCTCAGATTCTCAGACTGCTAGAATTACAAAGGAGGGGTGGGATGGATTCAAGAAAGTTAGACCAGAAATATGTAGAAGCAGAATTGCACAGATTAACCCTTGTTTAAGAAAGTGAGTCTATGAAACTTTATTGGGTAAAATCTGATAAGCATCAGAATCACCATCTTCTACACAGCCATGTGTGAGTGACTGATAAATGTGTGTCCTAAATAATCAGTGCCTCTGGGCTGATGATCTCATTTGTTTCATGTACTGGTGACTAATCTAATGTTGGAAGAAATCGTGCAGCCTTAACCTTAAGAATAAAGTGAGTTCTCATAGTTTGTATTTCACTGGTTTGAGGGGGTTGTTAATATGGAAATTTTAAGGAATTAACAAAGTTGGTTATTCCAGCAAGAATCTTATTTTTAACACCTAACTAGCATACTTTTCTTTTTCTTTAAACTTTTATTGATTTTAGAGAGGAAGGAAGGAAGGAAGGGAGACAGAGAAACATCGATCGGTTGCCTCCCATACATGCCCGTACTCGCCCCGTATGCTCCCTGACTGGATGGAGCCCAAAACCTCGGTATATGCCCTGACTGGGAATGAACACGCAACCAACTGAGCCACCCGGCCAGGGTGCATACTTTTCACTGCCTTGCCCCTCAGCCAGTGGTTGCCCTCACTGTGTACATTTTGTCGTACAAAATGTATTTCGTTGTCTGCTTGAAATTGAAGTCAAAGGTAGATTGGCTTATTTCAACCAAATGTTACACTTGTACGTGGTATGCTCACCTGGAACACTGCACTATGCATATTTTTACGGTCCTTTAGACAATTTCCCAGCTTGTTTCTTTCCCCTATAATGTTGCCCATTATGTGAAAATGGGGACATTTTTCTTATTTTACTGTTTTCACTGACCTTCCTTCGGGAACTATTAGATGGATTTTGTTGTCTGCTTGAAATTGAAGTCAAAGGTAGATTGGCTTATTTCAACCAAATAATCTTCTGTTAGTATTGGTAAACGGAAATAACGAAGGTGTGCTGTGTATGATTTCTGTAATAGTTTCCCAGTTTAGGGATTTTTTTTTCCCCCCGGTGGTCAGCAAAGGCTAATAATACCTTGGATATTATTAGATACTCAAGGGTTTATTAGCAACTAGCTGGAAGCTGAATGCTAGACTTTTTGTGTGACTCATTCCTAAAAGTGATTGCAGACTTTCTCTTTGCTCAGCGGAGAACTCTGGAGAATGGAGCCCAGTGGAAGCCCCGGGTTGGGATTTCTGCACCGGAGCTCTAGCAGAGCTGCTGGGACTCTGCTTCCAGAGGGCCTTGCCCAGGGGAAAGGAGGCTTCGGGTCTCTTTCTTCCTCACCCTGCACACCTCCCTGTCTGCTCAGCCAGCTTCTTTTGCTTTAATCACATGGTCAGGTTATGCACAGTGTTGGTATTTAAAATTAGCAAAGGAGTTGTCAGGTGTGTGACTGGGTTCATCAGAATCTCTCCTCTGTGCCTAGGAGTCTGTTTGTGAGCCCTCTGTGCTGACTTCCCTAACCTACTAGAGGCAGCAGGGGCCCAGGCACCTCTCTCCATCTGTGTGTGTGTGTCGACGGGGGGGGGGGGGGGGTAAAATCTATGTAACATCAAGTTTATCACTTACACCCTCCCTCACCAGGCTGCCGTATGGCCTCTGAGAGCCTTTGCTCCCTAGAAGGCTCTCCTGACCTCCCAGGACCCTCAGGGCTCCTGCAGAGGCCAGCTGTGCTCTGAGCAAGGCTTGCGGAGAACCCCTGGAAAACAGTGGGTGTGCGCTCTTGGTCTGTGCCCAGACGGTGCAGCCATTGCATTAGACCATGTACTGCAGTCTTCTGAGTGCTTTGTGTTGTATTACCTTTTACACATATTTTTGCGTGGTCTCTTCAACTAGATTGTCACTTCCTGGAGGGCAGGGACCACTTTGTACATTATCGCCCCCATCATTCCTGTCAGTATTTCATCCATAGTAGGTATTAAATCATTTCTTGGATACTTGTGGGTTTTGTCAACTGTTGAGGACAGTATCCGATGCTATTGGTGAGTTAGATTCCCTAGACCCTGCTGTACATCCTTGTCTAATGTCATGAAAAGGCATATTCTGGCCCTCAAGGTCATGAAAAGAAGGAAAAAGAACTTAGAATAGAGATGAAAGGATAAAAAGAGATGGAAGAAAGTTAAAACACAAGGAAAGAGTTCAAGAGAAAATGGGGCAGCCCTAGCTGGTTTGGCTCAGTGGATAGACCATTCTCCTGCGGACTGAAGGGTCACAGGTTCGATTCTGGTCAAGGGCACATGCCCAGGTTGCGCCTCGGTCCTCAGTAGGGGGCGTGCAGGAGGCAGCCAGTCAGTGATTTCCCTTTCATCATTGATGTTTCTACCTCTCTCTCCTCCCTTCTTCTCTGAAATCAATAAAAAATATATGTATATTTAAAAATTAAAAGTAAAGCTCCTCTCTCATCATTGATGTTTCTATCTTTCCCTCTCCCTTCCTCTCTGAAATCAATTTATATATATGTACATATGTGTATATATAAACAATACACACACGCACACACACACACACATTTAAAAAGAGAAAACGGGGCAAAAAGGAAAATGTCCATGGAAATTTAGATGATGCTGGAATATAGGTCCCCCCCAGACTTCACTGAGGAGCATGTTCAGACTCCTTTCTCTCTGGGGCTGGGCCACAAGGGACCTGGCTCTTTTGGTGACTTGGCTGCACATAACGGGACTCAGTGATGTTCTAAGTGGTTTGGGAATTTGACCCAAGAGGCCGCAGAAATCGCATGTTGAATGAGGAAGGCGCGTGGGCTTGGATTTATGGCAGGCCCATCCCCCTGGGTCTCTCATCGTGCCCCGTGCCAGAGCAAACTGGCCTGGAACCATTGCCCAGCCTCTGCCAGTAGGTTGCAGGCACTGAAATGGGTTACACAGTGGAAAAAAGAAAGAAGGAAGGAATCACACGTAATCTTCCTCTTTCAGGCTGGCTAAAAACTAGCATTTTTATTTTTATGATTAATATTTTTTGAGACAGAAGGGAACACTTTAAGTGTTGAGTTGACAGAATGGTGTTCACAGGTGTTTTGGCTACTGGTTCCCTGTTGCATGTCTGTCTGTGAGTGGAGATCAGTAGTCACCCCGTCACTGCTGATTTCCCCCATTGGTCATGGCACTGTTTGTACCACTGTGTGACATACTGAGGTCTTTTATATGATTCAGGTGCTGTTGGGGCAAGTAGGGAATGTCACATGTATGACGTTTAAAATCATAGTGTTGGGAAGAGCTGCCTATGAACAATAGCTATCTGAGTTTGAGGAGTGGCTTGAATTTTTCACTGTTGTTCAGGTCTGTCTGACTTCTTTTTGTGTGTTCTGGCAGTTGCCTATGCATGAGCCATAGTCTAATAGAAAGTTAAGCCTTTTGGGATTTGATGTCTCTTAAGTAGAAAAACCCCAACTGTCTGAGACACTGAGCTTTTGGTTTAGTGAGGACCTCTGGGGTGAGGGGAGGACATCCTGTGTGGTTCCGGGACTAGTCCGTGAGTCACATCATTAATGGAGAAAGGAAAGTGCCCAGAAAAGCAGATCAAGGACTGAGGCTCGACAATTGATGTTTTTAACACAAAGTACCTTCTTTTTAGCCTTTCTCTTTAAGTGGCACCAAGTTTTTTGTATATCTGACAATGACTTCAATTTTATTTATTAAATCAACTTTTTTTTTTTTTTTTAAATATATTTTATTGATTTTCCACAGAGAGGAAGGGAGAGAGATAGAGAGTTAGAAACATCGATGAGAGAGAAACATCGACCAGCTGCCTCCTGCACATCCCCTACTGGGGACGTGCCCGCAACCCAGGTACATGCCCCTGACCGGAATCGAACCTGGGACCCTTCAGTCCGCAGGCCGACGCTCTATCCACTGAGCCAAACCGGTTTCGGCTAAATCAACTTTTTAATATCCTGATTTAGCAGAATTTTAATACTTTCATTTATATAGTGATTAATTAACTAAGTAATGGTGTTTTTTTGGTTACTACTTATGGGAAAGTATCTTTAAGCTGAGCATAGTAACACTGTTTATGTGGTGAGCAGCCATCTGATTTCTATTTTTATGACTTGATGTCAGGTTTCTTTGCATGCCTGTATCTTAGAATCTAAATGAAATTCCTGTTTCCAAATTGTTGGTTGTTAGTGGGTGTGTTTATATACTCACGATGCTGTAGTCTGGAAGTCTGGTGTGTTGTACTGATATATAAGCTTATTTTTAAAAGGGAGATGAGACATGTCCAGAGTGACATTGGGAATTGCCTAAGTACACCTGGTGCTAGAGTTGTCCCTATCTTGCCAGCTGACAAAGGTTATTGTCATCATTGACTTTGTGTGCTCACTGTGTACTTGGCACCACATGCAACATGCTCACCGCCTTCCAGAAAGGAAGCCCTTCATCGGCGTCAAGGCCAGCTTTCCTCGTCTCTCTATTGTGCTTTTACACCACCTTAGGGACCACGTCAACCGCATGTAATCAAGGGGTGATTCTAATCCACACTTGTGTTCTAGTCCTGGACTTATTTATATTTAAATGTTCTTTGTTGATGTTACTGCAATATTAAAGAATATCATTCATAATTCCATTAACCTAAAATAAGTTTTCTTCCTTGTTTATTATCCTTCAGGTATTGTCCATATTCATACATAATATTACTCTGCTGCAGTTCATTCATTCAACCAACATTATTGGCTACCAACTATGTGCCAGGCACTGGAAAAATAGCTGTGAACAA